GTGGTGTGTGAAGAGTGAAAAAGTGCCGGCTGGCTCTCCGGCTGTCCGTCACACCTGAGTCAGCCTGTCCGTCTGTCTCCTTCCGTCTGAGGTCTGCTAATCTTTGTCCATATTTTGGTCATTTCTTTGGGGTAGTTTCTCGAAATTTCTGTCCCTGCGCTCCAGCCTATGAACGCTTACATTTCTTGGCTCACACCACCAACTCACTGTCTGCAAGTCAGACAGCGGTTTTCAACACTCAGAAAATGAAATGCAGGGGTGGGGGGGGCGGGGAGGAGTAGGTGGAGAAGGTAATTAAATGGCGCTTACTTATCTGCACCTGATTTCACCAAGTTAATCTTTAGCTTAAGCCCTGGCGCTCAGAGGCTCAGAGCTCCTGCCCTCATGACTGGTCCGAGAGGTGCTGGGAGGGGGATTGCGGACGGAGGCCCCTTACACACAGGATCCCCACTGACTGCAGCCCAAGTCTCGGGGCCTTCCTCTTGCAGCCGCGACCTCTGCTTGCGTCTTGGCGCCCACTGCCCAGTGTCTGACGGGTCGGTCCCCACTCTTTCTTTCTGCATGTGAAACTGGGGTCCAGGCCAGAGGTGCAGCAGAACGGGCAGATCGACCAAGTATACTGCTGAGGGGAGCAGCGGGGAGACAGGAGGGGTCTGCTGCGCCCTGGGGTCCCTCCCTGGCCCCCGGTCAAATGCTCGGTGAAGCGGCTGCGGCCTTCATGGTGCTGTGCTTAACCTGTTGCACCACCAGGGAGGGCCCCTGGTCCCTCCATTCTGACTCCCATGGGAGAGGGGGCAGTGGCTAGTGATGGCAGGACCTGCCATGGTCATCTAGAATTACTGTGGGAAGAACAATGGAAAAAGCCTTTAAAGTCTAACGTCAACCCACCTGTAGTTTTTAAATCAATATTTTCATCTCAAACACGAATGTAGCGTAATCTGCAGGTACCAGGCACCAGCCTCGGCTGGGATCAGCTCACATTCCTCTGTTCCGTGTCACTCCCACCCACCTTTCTTCATTTTGCTGATGTATTGACAAGCAAACTTAAGATGCTCTTTCATTTTACCTGTAAATACCCAACAAAATTAATTTCCTGTCTTAATATATAATCTAACACCTAATTCACTCCCCCTGTTGCCTCCAGAAATATGGCTTTTTACAGCAGGTTAGTTCAAATCCAGCTCCAGAATCTCTCCCTGGTGGCACAGAGGTTAAAGCGCAGCACTGTGAAGCAACCTCCAGGCACCGCAGCCTGAGTTCGATCCCCGGCCAGGGAGGGACCCCAGGGCGCAGCAGACCTCATCTGTCTCCCCGCTGCTCCCCCGCAGTGTGTTTCAGTAGATCTGCCTGTTTTGCTCCCCACTTTCATCCCTGCACCTCTGGCCTGTACCCCAGTTCTTGTATGCATAAATAAATTTTTTAAAGTCTTTAAATAAAACCAAGATCCTCCACTGCATTTAGGTTATGTATCTAAGTCTCCTTCTTTCCTTTTTTAAAAACGGCATCTACGGTGGCTGTGGCCGTCGGCCTCTGGAATGTGCTGGACGCTGTTGGCAACTGTTTCCACCCACTGTACCAGCCTGCCGCTCCTCTTGAATGTGTCTTGTCTTTTTCTGTATGGGCTGCACACCGCGGTCACTAGTTGATGAGGGAATGTGTGGAGGGGCCCTCCCTGGCGGCACGCCTGGTCACGCAGCTGCTTCAGTGCGAGCTTGACCCCCGCCCCAGAGGTGACCCCCAGAGCCCGCAGACCTCTGCTGTCTCCCCTCAGCAGTTTGCTACAGTCAGTCTGCCTATTCTGCTCCCCACTCTGTCTCTGGGGAATCCTCTCACCACCCCTGCACCTCTGGCCTGTACCCCAGTTCTGTGTGCATAAATAAATGTTTAATAAATAATAAAATAGAATTGCAGTGAATAAGTGTAGGAGAAATGGTTCAATTCCAGTTACCCCTGAACAGCCTCTTCGAAGTAATAAACCCTGTCAGCAGTCACCTGGAAGCGCTCAGGTCAAAGTCCAGGGCGAGTCACCTACGTCCGGGCAGGCCCGTGACCCGCTCCGCGGTGAGGCAGCAGGAGGGCACAGAAGGCGTTTGCTACACTGAACTTGGAAGCTCGCCACTCCCCCACCCACATCACCCCAGAAAAGTGGAACCCGAAAACTCACCCTCAGCACTGGCTGTTTGCCTCCTATGTCACAGTCTGTATTTTCCTTAAAAAATCATGCAGTTTCTAATTTCAAAGTAATAGTCTCATTCCCAGCAGACTGGGGAGAGGAGGGTGAGGGCAAGGGGGCGCCCCAAGTCCCGTCCCACCAGGGGCACAGCTGGCTGCTTCCCCACCGTCCTGGGGACACAAGGGTCACCCAGCTCTGCTTCCCGCCCTGCGGCCATGGCCGTCCTGAGGTCAGAGGAGCGGCCACCTGGACTCGCCTTCCTGAACTTCCCGCTGGCGCAGAGGCAGGACGGTGGTGCAGAGGCCTTCTCGGCCCACCCCGGGGCCCGAGGGCTTCCTGTTGAGGGGAGGAGGCGTGGGGTGCCTCTCCCCAGCTCTGCTCCTGAGCCCCAGGGCCCCAGGTTGGTCGGTGACTTGGCAGCAGAGGGCTGCCCTCAGTCCCCTCAGTTCTGCCCCCTCCCCTGACCCTTCCCGTCCTCCCAGCTTCACCCTGTGTTGTGCTCCCCGATGCCTTGGCCCCCCGACCTGTCTCTCCTGGGACAGCCCCGCCTCCCAGTCCCCTAGCGGCCGAACACCCCCAAGCCGCAGGCCCAGGACTCTAAGTGGGCCCTGACTGCGCCCTGGCCCCTCCTCACGCACACCTTTGCCTGTGGCCGACCAGTTCCGCCAGGTTGACTGGCCCACTTCTGCGCCAGGGCCCTGCTCACACCGGAACCGCCAGTCCTCTGCGCCCTGAAACTGCAGCCGCGCCCCGCGTCTCTGCCCCACCCCTCGGCCCCTCAGGACCCTCTCTTTTCTCCCACGCCGCTTTCTCCTTTCCTTCCCTCCGCTCCAGCGGCCCAGCTGCCGGCCGTCTTTCATTTTCCAACCACAGGTTTCACTGCACTGCTCTGAGGACCTGGCCTCCGGCCTCCACCCTCCGTCCCCGCCCGGCTGTTGATGGAGAAAGTTGTCAAAGCTGTGAGCGCCCCGGGCTTGATGGCTCCAGTCTGATCTCGGGGGCCCTGGCACTGCCTGGAGACCTCCCAGGTGTCCCGGGCACCTGCTTCTCCCACAGCCTGACATGCAGGCGCCCTAGTCCGGCCCCGCCCTGCCCCTTTCAGAAACACCTCACCTCCCACGGGCCTGGTGCAGTGGGCTCCCTGTGACACCCCAGCCGCTTCCCTGGCCTGCGGGGCTTGTTCCCGGGCAAATGGGCTTTCTCTCATCCCTCCACGGGACGGGGCAGACTGCAGTGAGACCGGGGGAGAGGAGGGGCTTGTTGTTAATTGACTGGGGGTGTTGGGGGGGTAGACCTGAATTTACCTCCCCGATTAAGAAAGGGACCCTGGTAGCTCCAGGGTCACAGCGCAGCACTGCACGCTGGCCGCAGCCTCTGCAGCAGGAGCTCGGTCAGGCCAGGGAGGGACCCCAGGGTGCAGCGGACCTCTCCTGACCCGCCCGCTGCTCCCCTTAGCACTGTGCTTTACTCCACCTGCCTGTCCTGCTCCCCGCTCTGTCTCTGGTGAAGCCTCCCACTCCCCTTGCACCTCTGGTCTATACCCCAGTTCTGTATGCAGAAATAAATCTAAGAAAGGGACAGAGGTTTAATACTTGGGGGGCAGCGTTGAGAACAAAGGAGCTAATTTCTTTTGGCTGCGGGTTTGGTTAGGAGCAAAGAAACTGCACGCAGCTGACGCGTGTTGGTCAGCTGCGGGACACAGAGTGCACGGAGAAGCAGGACACGGCTTTTCTCCAAATCTCTGCACTCAAGTCTCCCCTGGGGGTCTCCCCTGAGGTGCTTGCTCCTTCCTGTTTGCTGCGCCAGGCCTTGGCCACGTGCAGCTCTGCTCAAAGTTGGTTGAGAAGCGGGCGCTTTCCGCTGGGCTGAGAAGGCAAGTCTCCCGGAAGAGTTTGGGCCGACCTCATCTTTCTGCAATCGTCTGTGCTTGCCGAGGCCAGTATGACCATCTAAGCGCGGTTGCGTGGGGATGGCCGGCCTGCCCTTTGCACCGGCCTTCACTTTCCCGCGGACTCCACAGTGGCCCCGACTGTTCCCTCCCACCGGACACAGCGCTGAAAACGCTTCAGAATCAAAACAGCACAGCGATGCGGTTTCTTCCCACCCCCAGCGGCCCTCAGCCGGCCACCTGTGGGCCGAAACCCGCCTCTGCTCACCCAGCCTGGCTGCGCTGTGTACTCAGCCTTCTCCACGTCTGCTCTTTACCTTCGAAGACGACACCCCGAGTGGTGGTCTCCCCAGCTGTCTCGTCCATGACTCCCTGCCTCCTCCCCTGCGTCCGTCCACAGGCCTTCTGCAGCCAGACTAACAGAATCCCTTCCAGTTTCACAGCTGTTTTCACTCCCAGGAACAACAGTCCCGTGATACAAATCTGGAGGGAAGGCTTCTCCGGGGCGAGGGGAGGAAAGTTCCCCAAGTTGGCGGGTAGCTCAGAAGCGCTTCTTCAGGGAGGCGGAAATGTCCACTTGGCGCCTTGGGACTCTGGCCAGCCCCAGCTGCCCGGTGCTCCCTGGCGGGCCTCTGCCCCATGGCGTCTTGCTGTCTCGCGAGCGCTCCCAGGCCCTCTGTGTCCGAGGGAAGGTCCACTGGAGTCCAGGCAGGTGCCTGTTGGGTAGAGCGGGTCGGACAGTCGAGCGGTCTGAGGGTGCTGAGTGCCAAGGGGTCCCGGGGAGGGCTGTCAGCCTGGGGCCAGTGCGTTTCGCCCTCCTGGGGTGGGGACCACCGCTGACACTGAATTCTGCGCCAGGCTGAGTTACATCAACAAAGCCACCTAGATTGGGAGAAGGTGAGACTCAGAGACCCCCTAAATGAGCACCTCTCCCTCAAAATGGCACCAAGAGAAGTCAGCTCAGTGTCCTGGGACGCTGATTGCATTATCGGTGTGTCCTGGTGGCAGAGAGAACAGGAGTAAAACACTAAACCGTAAGACTCTTCCATGGCAAGCCCAGGTGTGATGTCACCTGGCGAGCCCCTCTGTGATGGATGGGTCAGCGCACTTCTGCCGGGCCTCTGCTGTCAGGCCAGACTCTCCCCTTGGATGTATTAAACACGGGGTTCTCTTTGCCCCGATTCTCCTGGACCCACAGATGGAGATCGCGACTCCTCCTTGACCCCGGCTCTCGGGACCCGCAGGGAAGGCAGCAGGGACGCAGGTGACGCAGGGAGGCAGAAGTCGTCTTCCTTCCTGAGAAGTGGGGTCTCAGGCTGCCCCCCAAGTTTCAGACGTGTGCCTACAGAGTGTCATAGGCTCACGGGTCTCAGGTCGGCCAGCTGCCCTGCTCCCTGTCAGATTCATCCGTCAAGATGGGCGTGGGGGTCTCGGGGCCCCGGCTGGTGTGTGCCGGCCCTGCCAGCGCCTCGGCGCCGTGTCTTGCAGGTGGAGGCGCCCTGGTGAAGGCGCGGGTGCTGACCTGCGTGGAAGGAATGAACCTGTCTCTGTTGGAACAAGCCATCCGGGCGCAGAGGCTGCACCAGCGAGCCAGGGCCCGCGGCCAGCGGGGCGAGGCAGCCGCTGGGCTCGCATTCCCTGGCCATGCGGGCGCCATGGACACCGGGGCCTCCCCGAGTGAGCGCCCTGCTGAAGCTGGAGAGTAGCGGTTGCTTATTCGGGCCGTCTCACCCGAGGATCTCGACCCTCCACTCCCCTTGCCAGGAGCCTCAAGAGACTGACCCCAGGGGTGCTGGGGCTGTGCCTCGGGGCGGCCATGGAATATTCCAGAAGGTGCTGCTGATGGCTCTCCCTGTGGCGCAGCAGGTGGTGACACAACACTGCAAGCCAGCCACAGCCGCTTCGATGGGATTTCAATCCCTGGCCCGGAGGTGACCCCCAGGGCGCGGCAGACCTCTCCTGACCGCCCGCTGCTCCCCTCAGCAGTGGACTTCGTCCCTCTGCCTGTTCTGCTCCCCGCTCTGTCTCTGGGGAGTCCTCTCACCGCCCCTGCACCTCTGGCCTGTTCTGCAGTTCTGTCTGCATAAATAAATAAAATTTTTAAGGCGGTGCCGGTGAATAAAGGCGCGGCAGGATGTGTGCGGGCGGAGCAGCGCCGGCAGGGGCCAGGAGGGGGCGCTGCGGCCTGGCTGCGGTGCCGGCAGCAGGAGCTCAGGGTCCGGTGAATTCTGGGCAGTGGGGCTGCGGGGAGGCCCAGGGCCCGGGCCGCCCTGGCCAAGGTTTCATCCTCAGAGGAGACTGAGTGTTGCAAGCAGGCCCAGCCTAGCCCCTGCCCTGGCCCTGCGACTTAGGGCAGGGCTGTGGCTGCAGGGCCCCTCCCAATCCCTGAGCTCTGCCCCCAGCCGAACCCTGTCCCCTCCAAGGACCCCCAGGGCCTCCTCCTGGGCCCAGAGGGGTGGGCCGGCAGCAGGATCCTGGAGGTGCCTGCCTTGTGGGCTGGCTGGGGGGCAGCCCCTTCCCAGCCAGGTGGAGGGGGTCTGGGGGCCTGGCCGGAGGGCCTGGGGCGCTGGGACGCTTGAGGGGCGTGGGGTGTCCCACCCAAGCTGGAGCAAGCTCTGGGCGCCGGATGGGGGGCCCAGGCAGCTCTGGGACAGGGATGCGTTCCGAAGAAAGAGAAGATTGGAGAGGGCACCTAGGGGTGGCGGATAAGGCCAAGGAGACGGGCCGCCGCGGTCCTCAGGAAACCAGGCCGGACCTGTGTGTGCTGGGACGGCTCCGACACACCCAGCCCGAGCGCGCCCTCATCTCGGGGTTCTGTATTCAGCCCTGGGCTCGAGGGGGACCCTGGACGTGCAGCCGTGGGTCTCGGGGAGTGACAAGCGGGTGCGGGGCCCCGTCGGAAGTCCCTTCTCGGCTCCTGCCTCCTTCCCTGCAGAGAGACCAAGGGGTCCAGAGCACCGCTGTCAGGGAGCTCTCCCTGCTCAAAGAGCTTGAGCACCCCAGCATTATCGGGGGAGGAGCGGGGGGACCGGCCTAGCCCACCAAGCTGCCTCCTGACGGGGTCCCCTGCCCAGCCGCTGGACGTGACACACAAGGGGAAGAGCTGTACCTGGTGCCTGAGTTCCCCAGCCAGGGCCTCCAGAGGCCCACGGACTCCACCCGGCCTCCGACTGCCCCTGCAGCCGGTCAGGGTGCCAGGGAGGACCGACGGCTGCCCCCCCACTGCCCAGCCACTTCGGCTGGCTCCCCCAGAGCTACCTCTTCCGGCTGCTGCAGGGGCTGGGTTTTTGCCATGGAGATCTGAGGCCCCAGAACTACTCATCAGTGAGTTGGGGGCCACCAGGCTGGCTGACTTAAGACTGGCTCGAGCCTTTGGGGTTTCTCTGTGCACCTATACCCATGAGGTGCCATGGCGAAGGGGGTACAGAGACGGCCTCAGCCACCCTGAAGGAGCTCCATGGGGGTGACCCCCTGGTATCACGCCCCCGAGAGCCTCGTGAGCAGCAAGTTCTACTCGACAGCTGTGGATGTCTGGAGTATCAACTGCATCTTTGCAGAGACCGGGGAGGGGTGAACGTAGCCCCTGGAGGCCCAGTGGGAGCAGCTGGGGCACTAATCTTCCTGTCACTGTGGATTAAAGTGCATTTGGCACTGGCTAAGGACAGAGGAAGTGGCCTGTGCCAGAAGAGGCCTGGGCCTTACCACGGCCCAGCACTAACTGGCTGTGAGGCGGGCCTCACCCCCTCCCCGCCCCACTCCAGGGGGCCCGCCGGGCCGGTTTCCTGGGGACTCCGAGATGAGATCGACCTGCTCTTTCGTATCTTCCACGCCCTGGGGACACCCAGCGAAGCGGTGTGGCCAGGAGTCTCCCAGCTGCCGGACTATAAGGTCAGGAAGGGGCTGGAGGACGCAGTGCCCAGCCTGGGGCCAGAGGACAAGGAGCTGTTGGTGATGGGGTCCGGTGAGGGGGCGGCCAGGCCTCCTGGCTGAGCTGCTGCCCAGTGTCCCCCCCTTATGAGACGCTGGTTCCTGAGTCCAGCTGGGCCCACTGCTGACCCCTGTACTCACCTGGCCTGGCCTGTGATGCTGATTGCTCAACCCTCAGGCTTCTCCCGGTCGGTCCAAAGTTCGACTCCGCGGTGATGCAGGCCGTTTGTTTTTTTACCCCCAGCTGCCCTGAGTCTTTAGTAATTTTCCAAAACTGCCTCATCTGAGCCCTGCCCATCCGCTCTCGGGGGCGGGCCCACCCCTGCCTCTGCTCCCCGGCCACGAGGCGGCTGGGACAGGCTGTTCCCTGCAGCCTGGGCTGCGCCAAGGGTCCCTCTGTCTGCACTGTCTCGCCCGCCTCGCCCGGGCCTCAAGGCCCGCAAGGCCCCTCTCTGGCAGAGCCTCAGCCGTGGCCAAAGACTCGGCCACGGCTCTCCCTGCGGCGCCGGGCACCAGCAGGGCAGAGGGCGCCTGCCTTGGGCTGCGTCGCCCGGCCCAGCCCCGGCAGCACACAGCACACTCGCAAGCGGCCTCCGTCCCGGCTGCTCCAGGGCGCCGGTCCTTGCACGCCCTGGCCGCCGGGCCTCCGCATTCCTGCCCTCCCCCAAGTTTGCTCCCTGGGCCAGGCTGGCCCTCACTTCTGAGACACAGAGAGCAACGGGCTCAGCTGGAAGCGGGCGGGGCCTGGGATCCTCAGTGAGGACCCCGAGAGGCAGGCTTGGCCTCGTGGCCGAAGGGGGCGGGGTGGCTCAGGGCTGGCCTAGACGGGGTTCTTGGCTGGCAGGTGTACGCAGGTTGGAGGCGCCCCCAGAAGCAGCCCTCCGGCACCCAGGAGGCTGCTCCGCTCCCGGCGGGGGGACTCCCCTCCCCAGGCCGAGGCCCCCCCCCGGCCGGGTCTCCTTCCCTCACGGCAGGCCTGCGGTGCGGCCCCAGCCTCCGGGCCTGGCCAGGACAGCCCTTGCCCACCCCCACTTCCCCCCAGGCCCCGCCCTCTGTGCTGGAGGTTCCTGCACGGAGAAGCTGGGGACGCGGGGCCTCAGTCCCGCTCCAGCGACGGCCCAGCCGCCTGCACCGGGGACCCACGCGGCAGAACCTTTGTGGGGAGAGCAAAGCCCCACGGAGTTCGGACCGGCCGTCGGCAGGCCGGGCCCGGGTTGGTCCTGCCAGCAGATGGGCGAGTCTCTGTGCGTTTGCTGGGCTCGCCGGGGCCCTTTCACGCGGGGCACGGAAGCGCCCTGCCCGAGGGGGCGTGGGGCAGCCGGGTCCCCCGGCTCCGGGACAGCAGGGCCGAGGACGGCGGGCAGCCTGCCCTGTGCCCAGGCCCTCCCGGTCCTCCACCCGCCCGCCCTCCAAGCCGCAGGCCCCGGGAAAGGGCGCCCCACGCTGGTCTTCTTGGGGTGAAAAAGTGGGGCGCTGTTCCGAAGATGGGCCCGCGTCCCTGGCACGAGCTGACGGTGGTTTGCCCCGCCGTGGGGCAGGAAATAGAAACACGCACTTCTGTCCTTCGCTCACGGGGGCCCCGGGGACTCGCTGGCAGCGGGAGGCGGACAGCGGCCGCGGGGGCCCCGGGAGGGCCGTCTCCGGCCGTCGGTGACCCGCCCCCGGCCCCGCCGCACCCGCACCCGGCAGAACCACCCAGGCGCCCCAGACAAGTCAGTTCTCCGTTCTCGGATGGGAGGAGGCCTGGTTTATTAGACACAGGAGGGCGGGGCCGCTGCCCGCGGCTCTGGGGGTGGACCGGGCGCCCTCGGGGAGCCGCTCAGCGCGG